AACGCGATTTCACGACGATCGAGATTAATTGATGCGAAGGAGCGCAAGGGCGGTGGTTGAAAAAGACAGGCTGGTAAGAAAGAGGCAGAATGCTTCTCGGGGAAGCGAAGAAAGTAAGAAGAGAGCTCAATTAATCGGACTCTCGGCGAAAGACTTGAGCTTCATCGATAAAAGTCCGCGGAAAAGGTTTGGAGACAGGGTATCGAAGTTTCTTTCCCTCTTTCACCCTTTTTCCTGTAGCTCCGTTGAGGGAAACTTTTTGAAAGGTTCACGATCTGCTCATAATTTATGCACTTAGACTGAAACTGTACGGTGCTCCGTGCGATTCTTAACGGACCGAGTTTATGGGACCACGATTTCGCGAAACTTGGAAGGAGACACGGGAATCGACCACGAAATAAGAACATCTTTTTGTGTTTGCTGGTCGCTCCGGAAACCGATAAATCGAAAAGAAGTGTACTCGAACCGAGAATCATCGAACTTACCCCGGAATCGTTTTCGAACTTTAATAAGTTCAAGATTCAAGATATCCGATCGAAGAAAAACAGTTAACACTTCGTTTCTTTTTCAATCTACCAATGTATTTTCTTTCTTGATTTCCCAATGTTTCGATATCTTTCAGATGTTCCGTCTGTCACGATACAAAGATACGGTACCACTTTAGTTATTGGAACAAGGAAAAGGGGGAGGATCATATTTTTATCGATAGCTTATTTCTCAAAGGGCTACAATGGTGTTAGTCGAAATTGCTAGAAGTTTACGATTTCGAACCGATTTTTTCCCCACATATTTTTTGTTAATATCTCGAAAACTGTAAATTTCCAGCAATTCTGAAAGACATAACACGCGTTCCTGCTCGTTGTCCCAGTAACTAAAGCCGTGCCATGGATACCCTTGAACAATAAGTAGAAACTATCGATTCACGATCAAGTTTCGCCGGTATTTTCAGGAAGCTCTCATGCTGGTAAGAACGATTACAACGTCCGGCTTTGAAAATTTTCCAACGATTCGATATCGGACCGTCCACGTCTCGCGGAGAAACGGTCGAATCCGTCGTGTCACGTTCATCCCCTCCGTTCTATTTTGGCCGCGATTTTCGCAAGGATTCACGTCATGCCGAGAAATAAAACTCGTCCACCCGTTCATCCGGATTACACGAACCATAGTCGGAGAATCCTCGAAACTGCACCGTTTCTCTCGGTATTACTGTGCGAAAAATGGCATTAACGTTTCCAGCATCACGATAGTTTTTCGTTCCGCCGTTTCCGCGTCGTCCGTCTTCCTTTAGTCTCGATATTCGCATCGCAGATCAATCGTATATGAATCTAGAGCTTTTAAAAGCGCCTTCCTTCGAATCAGCATAAAACGTCTAGAAGTTTATCGTCAAACGGCTTATCGTGACGTAGGAAGCGCGTGTTATCCTGTTAGAAATAAGTTTGCTTTAGAATTTGGCCTAAAGTGGTCGGTAACTTTAGTTTGTTTTCACAGGATTTGTTCAGGTTTGCCGCGAAAGTTCACCCCACGAGTTATATGACAGAAAGCTCGGGAAAATTGAGCTAAACGCTTCAGTCCTTCTTAAGCCAGAAAAAAGAAAGGATATTTCCCTTTCGTTTCAGATTATCCTCCAGCTCCTTCTTCTTTCGTTTCATGATTTTTCATCGATCACCAACGTTTCTGTTTCAAATATCCTGTGGCGGAGCAGGTAGTTCATTAATTAGTCGATTATGGCGCGAGTCGTCCTGGACATGCTTTCGAATCTAATTGAGGATACCACTGTTGAATGTTTACGCCGAGTTGCATGCGCATTCCTGCAACACTTTAATCCGATTAACGATCCCACGGAAAGTGATTTAAACTGACAGATTGCACGATAAACCTTTGTACCCGTAATCGGATCGTGCCAATTACACTATGAACTTGAAATTCCATTAGATGATCGAGCCGCCGGACAAAATTCATCTCCCACTGGATTGCACCCCTAAACGCGCTGTTTTAAATCGCATTACCGATCCCATCGATGATCATAAACGGGTCATCGACCTTTCACCTCGAGATCGAGCCACCACTTGCTCTACAAATCTAAGCTTTTCTAGTCGATTGGTTCTATATAAAAAATAATAAGAATCACACCCCTGACACTTGGCCCACGTTTTCTGTTAACACGTGTCGATACATTCGATATCTCACGGTAAAAAGTTACAACGGAAACGTGCCCTCTGGTTCCAGCAACCAGATAAACCCCTTTCTCGTTATTTATCAATATTTCGTAGAAAATTTCTGGGGATTTTTTTTTTTTCTTCCAATGGTACGTTCCATATTGACACCATAACTCTTTCAATCTCCAGTCTTTCCAGTCTTTTCTCCCTTTCTTTATCGGTCGATTCGACTGGTACGACCCCTTTCTCGTTCGCCCCTCTATCCATCTCCGTTCTTCTTTTCTGGTCGACGCGGAATTGGGGATTTTATCGTGACGCTGTATTAACGAACTTCGCCGAGCGAAGAACGGGGGCGCGCGGATTTAACGGGTGCGCCCGGATCAGGACCGGCTATTCTCGTGCGGAAAAGAAATTTAATATCGTTCCCAGTCACGCCTTGGACCGATGAGTTTCGATGGATGCGATATCCCCTCAAGTCCTCGCCGTTTCGGCTGCTTTATCGGCCTTATCTGAAATAAACAGCCACCGTAGCGGCGTGTTTTTCATAGATCCAATAAAGCTGCACCCCGACGCGACGCTCCGCGCCGGAAGCGACGCGTTTCGAACTGGCTGAAATACAGGAACGGGTGATTGAAATTTTTGTTTATACACCTACTTTGGTTTTTCCATCCCCGATGGAAGTAGGTGTAAATACGATCAATAGCCTGGGAATTCTTTCTAGTCGTCGATATATACCGGCTCGGTATTTCGTTCAGCAGCTTTTTTATCGTAAATTAATCTCGAACCAGACGTCCTAGCGTTGTTTGCTCATCAAACTTTCATACGTTTATTAATAAACATGAGCGCGTTTCCGGAAAATTTTGTTTTCGAAACCGAACAAACGATAAAGCCATTCATTGCGCGTTTTGCGCTGGTATTACGGAGGTTTATAATGCTCCGTTTCTATATACGAATATAAATGAAAATATTTCAACGAACAGCTAATGTTTGAAAATTTTCGGACGTACAATGTACAGTGTGTTCCGTATGTATTTATCAAGTTGACATATATTTTTCGTACACATCAGATGTGCTCGAAGAAATCGATGATTAGACCGCAATTTGTATGAATACGAATTGATGAAAATTAGAGGTATCGTAACGAGTCTGCATCTTCTTCATGTGAATGTACCTTTAACGATAACTGTCACTTCTTATCGTTGCCAGTTTTCCGTGCGACGAAAATAGATATTTTCCAGTTTATTCCATGACGTATGAAATACATTATATTTCACTCGTAATTTGACGAGGTCGGGATAAATTTAAAAATGAAGAAATCCAAGCACGCGTTCCAGTTACCCTGATCGGTTAGCCGTTCAGCAAACTAAGCAGCTTTCGAAACGCGGTTCATCAATCCGATCTGTCGATTCTTTGTTCTCTCCCGCAAAGCGATTTCCGATGTGTCCAGGCCTTTGTGGTTTCCCCCGTTTCATTTACATCGCGAAAAGGTATTAACGCGTATTACCGGAAATCCTGACTGCACACGGAGACGTATCGATTTTTTCGCCGGTCCGACAAGTGTTTAACAATTCAATCGGCGAAACTCCACAAAGATATACGCGGTCCCGGTTTCGCGCAGTGATTTACAGTTCGGTAATACAGTAGGTGGGATTGGTGTGTTCCCTTTCGAATCACTTTTGGCTCGCCATCGCGTGGAGTGTGCAGTAGCTATCAATTATAAACGTTTGATTTTTCCGGCTCGCTCTTCAATTATCGTTGGCTGCGTCAACGTGACTGATTGCGTTTTGCGTCGACAAAGAGGGTCAGGAACCCGAAAAAAAAAAAAAAAAGAAAAATACAAAAAAAGAAAAACGAAGAAGCGAAACGAACCGACGATCCCAATAAATATCCTTCCCTCGTGTCGAACCGCGCCCACTTCAAATACTTTAATTACTTCACCTATAAGCCTCGTTTATCATCGTTAGTCGACGCGTTCGACCTGAAGCCATTAGTGTCGGTTACCCATCTCTTTTCGTCATTTTTTTCTTCTCTACCCGATCACTACGAATGTAGTTCGTTTGTCTTCGTTGAACGGTCCCAACAAACGCTCCCGATGCTTCCGATTGATACGATGGCACGCGATAAATCTCCTTCGATATAGAGTTACACGTTGGCGCAACGTGTACACTTGGCTGCAACGTCCCTTGATCGATGCGGATCAAGAAAGTAGGGGCACGGGCCAGTTCGTCACCCCTGATTTTGCCTAAGGAACCCTAAGTTACACGCGACTGTACCTGAAATCGGTTCTTATTGAACGCAGACAGTAAAGAAGTAACCGTCTGAACGGGGAGAACGAAATCGAAGGTTCGAAATTTATTTCGATCAAATGCTACGAAAGCCTACCTATTTATCCACGAAATTGCTTCAACAGACAGGATGATCTGGAACGGATAAGAAACGCCTCCGTTCCCTTCCCCTGTCTAACGGGCTGTTTTAAATTTCAGAAGCGAACGCCGGGGAGACGTTTATTATTTACCCCGAAAGAACAAAGGGATCAAGGGGTCCGTGACTTTTTATTTGGCCTACCCTTCGTTCATCTCTTCTCTGTCACTCTACGTGCGCGTGTTTTCTTTTTTCCTTTTTCGTTTTTCGAGGACCCAGTGAAGAGCATCGCACCGAAGGCAGACGTTAATAACGACGCCTTTGCCCTTCGACCCGTGTCGCAATGTAGACACTCGCTTAACGTGACTTCGAAGATAAAACTGGAAGGGTGACACCGGGGACGATAATAACGAACAGAGGCGTTTCTTCTTTCTTTTTTCCTTGCTTTTCGAAGTGCTTATATGCTTCTCTCTTTTGTTCTAGGTACGGAATTAGAGTGGATCCGCGGCAATGGATTATGTTTGTCGGGGGCAAGTACGAGGACAGCGAGGAGTATCCTTCGATTCTCCTCATCATCTGTAAGTCATTCTCTCGATTTTTTATCTTGAACGCTCATCAAATTAAATTAAGTAACATTATGGTGAGCCTCGGGTTGAAAGGGTTGAAATAGAGTACACCTGGAATATTTCCAACTAATAAAAAACTGACCTTTCGTATGCAGTGAACCTAACACAAACGAAATTAAGATGAAAGTATCATTCGTGTTATAATCTATGGTGTGCAACAGACGACACCGGTTCGCTGCCAATCTCATTCAGTCTCATTCGAACGAATAACGCGTCCGTCGAGATTATTTAACGCGACTTTTGCTCGTTTGCGAACGGACAGAAGCGTCGCGACTCGTTATAAAAAGGTAATGCGTACTGGAGCAACGCGGCCGAAAGCCGCTAATTTAAATGTAAAAGTAATTAGCGCGTGACCAGTCCGCGAACAGGAGGAAAGTAACGCGCCTTGTTAACATGCGCGCTCTCGCGGAGAGGGTGCAATTACTTGTTAAATTTCAAAGATATATGTACATACCTCTGCCGTTATTCTCCAAGGTGTGTTCAACGCGTGTTTCCCGTTTATTGTAACAAGCGAAAGTTCAAAAACACGGTCCGGTTCGTCGGATAGCCGACGACCCCTGGGGGGTGAATTCAAATTTATCATTAAACGGCGAGCCCCTCTAAACCGTCGTTTAAGCCGGACTTAAAAGGCACGAAATTTAGCGCGGCGAAGTGGCGTGGCGCGTAAATTTCGACGCTCTACCAACCCCTGACGCGAACTACCCCTACGCATTGTTCTTTCACCGCCTCGAAATGCACTCCGGTTATCCGCGTTTTCATCTACAATCCGGCGCGACCCTCGTGTGAGTGTGCAATGTCCTGCGTGCTTGGTTATTCCATATGGTCGTGTTTCAGCGGGGCAAACAAGCTTGATAAATTTGACTATGAAAAATGGAATCTTCAGCAGTCTTTGATTATATTTTCGTTGCTAGGCGGACACGAAAAGTCGGCCTGACACGTACGTTTGCATTAAAATCTACATCATGCGTTCTGAACCTCGTGTTTCCTCTGCGACTCGACTATACTTTCGTAGGGAACAGGACAAGAATGTACAGGGTGGTTTGGAAATAAATTTATCACTGTTTCCATGCATTGCTGAAGCTTTCTCGTTAACCCGCAAACTTGCCTCTCCAAATTTATTAACAACCTGTTAATATTGCCATTAATTTTCAATGAACAGCAGGATGCGTGGAATTCGCTCGTCGTCGAGTGACTCGATTAACGGCGCAAGGTCTCGAATACAACCCCCTCAGTTTCGTAGTAAAGTTGCGCCCCGAAACAAGCTGACACAACAAGTAGCAGCGCGAGTGACCTAGTAAAACCGTCTCGTAAGTTGCACTAATTTCTCGATACCGCTCGACACTCGGGTCTAATTATCCTCGCAATTAGGTTACGAAATTAATTTCACCCCGAGAACTTTCCGTCTGCCCGTCTTTACAAAGAACCCCTCCGCCTTCGACGGCATGCGGGAAAGTTGATGCTTCGCGAACACCCTGTGAATGCGTTTAAACTCTCGTTTCGCAGCTGCGCCAGCAGGTTGCACGCGCGTGCAAGCTGATGCATTAAGGTGCATCTTTACCGGTGTTCGCGAGTCATGTACAAACTGTACGTGAACTATTCGCAAATTGTTCACGAGATATCCGCGAGCTATTCTTGAACTGCTCGCGAGTTTTACGCAAGCTATCGGCGAACTGTTAGCGAACCGTAAGGAAGTTTACAAAACGTTTGCCAAGTGTTTGCCGGTGAATGTACACCTTTAAACGTAGAGGATCGCAGGTAGGCGAACAAGAGGGGTTGCAAAGTATCCGGCAGGGGGTTGGTTGCATTATTTACACATGAGGGAAGGTAATGCTCATAGGGAACTACGGTTAATAGCTCTCATATTTTAGAATCTTCGTCGTGCTAGCCCTCTACCCTTCTTTCCTTACTCCAGGCCCTTAAACCCCCTTCGACCTTACCCCATCCTCTTTTTATACCCTCGCTCGGTCGCTCGTTCGAGCGGATACACCCTCTGGCGTGTTCCTCGTATCCCGTGGCCGTGGCTCTCGCATAATAATTTTCACGGCTGCTCCACCGCCTGGCCGCCGAGATTGCTTTTTAAACGGTGCTCCAGCAGGGTATCACGGCCTTCGCGTCTCGCTGTTTCGCGATTAGAGGATTAATTATTCCATGGACGTTGCGAAGCGCGAATTAGGCCGTTTAACAGCTCTGACCTCGTGATTTATTCGATCCTCGTTGATTAGCAGCGAGCCCGACGCTGCTGCTCTCCAAGCAGCCTCTTTTATTTTATTTCAGCGTTTAATTAATTTTTCAAATCAGCCCGAAAACCAGCAGCTCGAAGGGAACTTGCTCGTCTGGTTTTTACGGCCACTGGTGAATTTCATTGTTACCGTTCTTCCGGCTCGGTTATCCTTGCATTTTCATTCCATTTCCTGGCTGCAGCGTTTCGTTGATGCGACTGCCGTTCGATAGTTCACCGAGAGATCTATTTTTTATGCGACCTCGTTGACCGTTAATTGCATACTTTACAGCTACGGCGTGATGCAATTTCCATGCGCTCGTGAGCAGCCGTGAATTAGTGTCGAAAGGGTCGTATCGTGTTAAGGGATGCGTTATGACATCATTGTTATAGTTTCATTCTGTCGGAAACTAGGTTCTCTCTTTATTCCCCTTCTTTATGTAGAACACGCATCGAGAGGGTGCTTGTTCATTCATTCCCTGCTATTTTATTCCTGGGGAATGTTTCGATGAACGCAACACGGACGTTGCATTAACGGTGTAATTGAATTCCGTAGGGAAAAAAAGGTGAAAATAATAAAAGTTCCTTCAACCCTGTGTCCATTTCTGCGGATTCACGTGTTCCGCTAGAAGAAACCGTGGAAGTTTAGCTCGGTTGAAAGGGAGCAAAGGAAAACAGACGCAGTTCCGTGGCCTTCCAACCCCTTGCATTTCTCTCGAAGGAAACGCTTCTCCCCTGGTCGCCCATTGAAAGTGTCCGTTTCGTGGTTTTGTGAGAGTTTCGGGATAGCAAGTTTCTCGGAAACTTAAAGTTAACCGTAACTCAATGCTCGCTGTACACGACTGACGTAACGAGTTAAAAGGCAACGCGATAAGGTGCAGAGACCAATCACTTTGCGATTTGCTATGATCTGGTTCTTGGTTCTTTGCTATAATTTTCGCTGGTACCAAGAAATAAACCGTCAAATATTTCATCATTCGTAATTGCGTCCTGATTAATGGATATCATGTTACATTGGAGGGTTGAAGAGCTCTTTGAACGAATTAAACATGTATAAAAGAGAACGCCGGTGTGGTTTAAATTAAGCTGGAAGTGACGGTACGGGAACAAAGACAAATTGACGCATGAAATCAATAATTCTTCCACTGTTCGAATCCATTGAAACGACGTCTGTAGTGGCCTAGATTCGTTTCGAGCGTAGCGTTATCGAGCGCAGCTCGTGCGCGAAAAATCCGAGTAATTATCAGCGGTATCAGCCTTTTTCGGGCAGATTTTTACCGTAACCGGAGGAATTAATGCAGCCGATGCCCTCGCCCGTTAAAATACGGCCCATTGAAATATATTTTCACCGGCACGGGGCGAAATCCCGCGCTCTGAAACCGCGTAAGCGTCGTTAGCAGTCGAAAGTTGTAGCTGCTGGAAAGCCATTGAAAGAAAATATTCGACTCTCTTCTTTTTTACCTTTTTTTTATTCGTTCGTGCCCCTCTTAATGATCGCCCCGGCCGGTCCGCCTATGAAACAATCGACGCCGAGTTGAAGTTCAAAATCCATTCCCCGCGATGTACCAACTCGACGGATCGCTTTCAATCGAATTACGAACGACCAAGGCACGAGAAACTTTCGCGTCGACGTAGCGCCACCGGGAGGCACCCTTTCCTCCCGAAAAAAGTGAAAAGAGAAGGGGAGAAACAAAGGGGGAAAAATAGCTGGCAGACATCTCTCATTATTTTTGACCGACCGCGATGCCAACTTTTCCAGCGGCTCGCGTAATTGACCACGGATATTAAAATTTTTCGTTTGCCGGCCGAAGTGGTTCGAACAAAAGGATTATAATAAAATCCCGATGAAAAAAAAGAAATGGGGATAACAAAAAGCCACGAACGCTGGCGAACCTAATTCGTTGTTTTTACGGGCAGATTTTGTTCGCCCCCCGGTGATCACGGAACATCGGTAATTCGTTCGCATGAGTTATTCACTCCTTCTACAAACCTTTTTTTTTTTTTTTAATTTAACTGGGATAAATTTGTTAGACAACAAACTATGCAAAATTTTGCTTCGAATACAAGGCTCTAAGTAAATTTTGATCAACGCAGACGCGACTTTACGTATAAATCGACCAACATGTCTATGGCAGCTGATTTTCACGTAGTGCATGGGTGTCATGGTCGATGGTGTTCCGTGTATGGGGCACGGAAATGGAAGGGGACGCTTCGCGAATCCCCACGTATGAATTACTTAATCCACCGCCTGTACACGAAGCCTGGCTATAATAATCGAATTAAATGCGAGATTGCGTCTGCGAAAAGCCTTTCACGCATACGCCATCTGCGCATCCGGTTTAATGTCTATGCCGTGCGACGTATCCGGCTAAATACCCGGGCTTATCAGAAACACTTGTCGACTTTGCGTCGCACAGCCGGTCGGCTTTTCGCTCGGATCGAACTTCAGTTAGCCACGCTGGGATTTGTTTGCAATTTATGGATTCATCGTGGCGATCGTCCGGGATTACTTGTAAAAAAAAGGGGAATTTTAACAAATAATATATTTCTTTAATCCTTCGTCCGGGGGAAGTGTACGTTTTTAACGCGTTGGCTAATTGAAGAATTATCAATCAATATTGCAAATTTAATATAATCGAATGGTTTAAAATATAAACAGGAAATATTATATATAACGTGGCTATTAAAAATTTAATGAAAAGATTAAATGGTAAATTCATGGTAGTCGTTGTTG